CCCGAGAGAAGGGGATCCTGGTGGCACTCGCAGCCGGAAACCGGGGCCCGAGCTTACGAACCACACGGTCCGCCTTCCCGTGGGCCGTGATCGTGGCGTCGGGGACCGTCGACCGTTGGTTTGCAGGGACTGTAACCCTCGGCAATGGCAGAACCATCAGGGGCTGGACGACCTTCCCTGCCCGGGCCTCTGTCCGAGCCCTGCCCCTCGTATATAACGAGACCCTGTCCGCGTGCGACTCGAGCGAGCTGGTGTTGTCAGCCCCTGCAGGGAGTGTACTCGTGTGCAATCTAACCGGGGACAGCTCGTTTTTCGACTCGACCATGAGTTACCTGGTCGAATCGGAGGTCCGGGCCGCCATCATAATATCCGAGGACTTCAATATCATGGAGAGGGCCCGATTCCCTTTCCCGGGAGCCGTGATAACACCAGCCGAGGCCCGGACCGTGGTCAACTATGCGTCGAACGAGGCCTCTCCCACAGCGACCATCGATTTCCAGCAGACGGTCCTGGGGGCCGGGCCCAGGCCCGCCCCGATGCTGTCGCAGCACTCTTCCAGGGGTCCGGGCCGGAACTATGAGCTCATCTTAAAACCCGACATCATGGCCCCGGGAGTACTGATCCTGGCGTCTTACAATCCTTACTCGGCGGACGAGGCAAGAATCGGTAGGAATGTAATCTTATCCACAGAGTACACTCTGTTGTCCGGGACATCGATGGCCTGCCCACACATCTCAGGCGTGGCCGCCCTGCTTAAGGGGGCCCACCCGGAGTGGAGCCCGGCTGCGATTCAGTCGGCCATGATGACCACCGCCAACCCGCTCGACAACACGGGCCAGCCCATCCGGGAGTACGATTTTATGGTGGCCACGCCTCTTGGGATCGGGTCGGGCCATGTGGATCCGAACCGGGCCCTCGACCCGGGACTCGTGTACGACGCGTCCGTGGAGGACCTGGCAAACCTCGTCTGCTCCATGAATTTTACGAGGGAGCAGACGCGGTCGATTATTCGGTCGGGCCACAACTGCTCGAGCCCGTCGTCCGACCTCAACTACCCGTCTTTGGTGGCTGTGTTTTACAGCGCGGACGAGGGGAGAAGGCTGACGAGACGGTTCCAGAGGACGGTGACGAATGTGGGGCCCGGCGCGGCAACGTACAGAGTTCGGGTGGAGGCACCCGCGAACACGACTGTCACGATCCGACCACAGACATTGGTGTTCCGAAAGAAGTACGAGAAGTTGAGTTACTCGGTGAGGGTTCGTTTCAGGGCTGATCTCGAGATTCAGCATAGGCCGGGTGCTATAACTTGGGTCGAGCAGAACGGGACGCACACGGTGAGGAGTCCGATTATGGTTTCGGCCGGGGCTGATTTTTTCGAGTAATTTTCTTTTCATTTATGTTGTTGAATAATGCTGAAATGGTGGTGATTTAGTGTGCACATTTGTATGCTAGCTACCAAATGCAGTAATCTTCTGCAATCTTCTGCTAGCATATGATCAAGTTGTTTTTTTCTTCACGGGGTTGCAATAATTATGTAACTAGTATTTATGTGCATATGCACAAATGCAAATAAATTTTTTTCTTATATATATGTTTATTTAATATTTGAAATAATGATTTAGATATGAGCAAATTAGTCACATTTTATAAATTTTATCATTACTAAAAACAAAATGAATTATATAAGTGTAAACTATTTAACTTACATATTAATTTTTATATTGATGTAATTTTGGCTGATTATGATCAATTAATTGGATAAACCAATATTGAAATTATTATTATTATAGCAATTGCGTGCGAAATTTTAAAGGGTTTGATTATAGCATATAAAATAATTAAAAAAAATTGCTTAATGAGCTGAAAAGAAAAATTAAATAAATAATTGAAAAAAAAAACTTTAAAATAGATTGCATTTAATATGACATTATGATTAGGTATAGTTGTAATCGTATAGTAAAATAAATAAAAAAATATAATAGGTTGACAAAGTAACAAAAAAAAGGAAAAAAACGAAAGGAGTTTTATTAAATTTTTATCTAGCAATTATATATATATAGAATATAGATATTGTTGCAGTTAATAAGTTACTATTAATTATTATGTAACATCCAACTTCATTTCCATTTCTTCTAAAAGTTAACTATAACCAAATTTTCACAATACATAGAGGATTAAAAGACAATAGAAATCTTAATAATTACAGAAGCATTCAGTTATTTCTAAATATCATTTTAATAATTCTCTATATCAAAAGGTTTGCACATTAGGCCATGGTCTTCACTAGAAAGTAGAGACAATAACAATAACTAATAAAACTTCAATGTTTGCAGCCCACAATATGCCGGTCACATGTCCACTAGCAATGCAAAGTAGTTTGAGGTGCAAAAAATATCTAGCTAAGCTAGTTAGATATTCAGATTTAATTTTCTATATCTAAATGTAAGAAACATGGAGAAAAATCTACGCAGATGAAAGAAAGTTCAAGCTCATATACGGAGTTGAGTGCCAAGCCCTACTAAAAATATTCTCTCACAAAAGGATACGTGGGATAAAACGGGTATGTCATCGCATGGTCCCAATAGAATCGAATCTGATACCATGTAAGAAACGGGGAGAAAACAGGTGCGGTGTACCCGTCAACCGTCATCGCACAGCCCCAATAGAACCGATTCTGATAGTCTTAATAGAACCGAATCTGATACCATGTAAAAAATGGGAGGAAAACAGGTGCGGTGTACCCGTCATCGCACGGTCCCAATAGAACCGACTCTGGTATCTTATAAGAAACGGAGGGACCAATAAAACCGATTCTGATAGTATATAAGAAACAGGGGGAAAACAGGTGCGGTCCCACGCACGGAGGGACCAATAGAATCGACTCTGATACCATATAAGAAACATGGAGAATCTAAGTGCGGTCCCACGCGTTGAGCCATATAAGAAACGGAGGGACCAATAGAACCGACTCTGATACGGTACCACGCATGTGGAGCGCACCATAAGTAGGGAAAGCTCAAATGCAACCCAAGTGAAGTATCATCCCAAATCCAATTAGTAGAAGGAGGAGTAACTCATTAGAATTATAAATTAAACATATTTTTGCTATATAAACGATGTGGGATAACTCACAGATGATATTCTAACGTGCATGTGTACATAAATGAACAGTTAGTCTCACTCGACTTTGGAAGCAAATTAGACATATTTGGGTGGTGAAATTAATGAGCCGTGACTTTCATTGTAGAGATAATTTAAGAGCAATTTATATATTTATTAATAAAAAAATAATAATTGGACAAAAAAACAAAAAAGGAGGATACTGGACCAACATAAAAGGCACGTATCCGTGAATACGTTTTTTGTATATTTTAATCAAAAAACGTATTCACTAAATACGTTTTTCACATTTTTTTATAAAGGAAAATGTATTCCGTGAATACGTTTTACAATTAAAATGTGCAGAAAACGTATTCACGGAATGCGTGCTTTTCATTTATTTCCACCCATTTTTTTTTTTTTTTTTTTTTTTTTT